AGTACAATGCAAAATTCCATGATAATAAAGTCTTCGTTTACACTAATGCAAGTACATACATATTTCTTGGCATGAATATTTTAACGTCTCTTGGCATGAATTAGTGAACAAGTAAACAGATCCACTAGCTCAAAGTGTTTAAGGATCTTAAGGTACAGATAAGAAAAAAAAACTGAACCAGCTCCAAAAGACATTTTCACATCATTTAAGCACTAACAATGGACACAACTCGAAACCCAAACACTTGGAGACATAAACAATACACAGTTACTATTTAGGTTTCCCACAAACATCAGCAACGAAGGCAATCCAACCTTTCTAACAGCTATTAATTAAAACAAGCCACGAGTTTTTACACAAATCCGCACAAATTAACTAGATTCCAGTCAAAGCTACCGACCAATCCAACCAATTATCTTTAAAATAATTACTGCCCTTAATTTCCACTGTAATTAATAAAGACCCATTAATACAATGTTTTTTCTTTCTTTATCGGAAAACATGCTAGCTGCACATTTCAACTGAATAGAAATGTACGCAGCACAGCACGAGCCAACCCAGGAAAACAGCTACAAGGAATTAAAAAAAGAACATAAAAATCTGCTTCAAAATAAACCAGAATGGCAAAATCGCAATTCTATTTACACTTCATTTTCTACCCCTAGAGATCAAACACAGCATGATTTTGCACTCAGACTATCCTGTAGTAACATCTTAATTTGTACCATATTAATAGTGAGCTTTAAGTTTCATACTTAGTGGCACAGCAGTAGCTTACACAGTATAAAAGGGTCATTATCATCTGTGAGGTGAAAGGATATACAATGCTTTAAGCAAAACTTGCTGAAAATATTGTAATTGTAAAAACATTCATGCAGTACCTCAGTCAGGTGCTAGGAGGTGCACATTTGAAGCACTGAAAACTATCTAAACACCTGGGTAGCCTCTACAACAGTAAAATTGTTGATTTCCAAGAGGGCCCAGGGACAAATAAACATATAACAAAACATAAACACAACAGAAAGCAATTTGTATAAAAGTAAATTATACAATCAAGTAGCATAACTGAGAAAAGTTAACAGAGATCAGTATAACTGAAAAGTTAACAAACGATACAACATATATAAACGGCTGAACAGAAATATACAAACCAAAATGTCAAAATCATAATCATAATCAAAACTATTGTTGTTAAACATGGAAAAATTCCATACTTTGCAGGATAAAATAAACATTTTATCCTGTATACAACTGTATAGAATATTGTTTGGTCTTTTTTCCACCAAACAACTCCTGCAAACAAATGTGCAAAGATTGAGTGAAACAAGTCGTTCGGTGTGATATAGCTAGCTGCCGCCGCGCTGCGTGCCTGCGAAGCTGATGTGTTACGCCGAAGCACGGTTATGCCGGCTGGACAGATACAGATACAAACAGATGACGTTTACTCAAGACGTGCTGGTTTATATACACACTTCTCAACCAGAAGTTTTCAGACAATGTTGACTTGCCTGTATTGTTCACATAATGGCACTACTGTACAATTTTGTTTTTAATTTTGATTTTTTTTTTTTTTATAATAGCTGCCACACTATAGACTTACTCTGACCAGAACTAGTACACTGCAAGAGACACGTACTGTTCTAATATAGTCTCATTTTCTAATATAGATATCGCATGGAGAAAATTTTCATAAGCTACGTACAGGCTAGCAAGGTTTTTTTTTACACAATTGAACTTTGTTGTTGTTTTAAACCCTGAAAAATCATGGTTTCGCGCAGGCGCAGAGCGTCCTGCCGACGTGCTAATGTGGACACCTTCCGTACTGATCGTTGACCTCTGATACTAGTATTACGCTTTAATTCAGAGATGGGTTAAAAAGACTTGCAATGGCGCTTCCAACCGAACGACATACTTTTGCACCTCGTTCCCATAATTACCTTCGCCAAGAAAAAATATGTTTTCAGAGGCGTTC